TTCACTATTGTTCTTCCTAAGAACAAATATGAGCATCAGTTGTTTTTTGCACCTTGGGCTAATGAAGACGGTTCCCACTTCCCCATGAAAAAAAGCACCTGTAGACAACAGGAATATAGTATACAGTCTCTGTCATTCCACACTCAATCTTTAAAATAAATTTGTATTAAATAAATACAACATATAAAATAATTATATTTTAATATAATAATATGATTATATTAAATTCTATTTAAATACATTTTTAAAATGTAATTTATTCCTGTGATGCCATTTCTCCAGTCTTCAGTGTCACACGATCCTTCAGAAATCATTCTAATATGCTGATGTGGTGCTCAATCAATTATTAATCATGGTTCTTATTATTATCAATGTTGAAAACAAGTTTTGCTGCTTAAAACCATACACATTTTTTCTGGATTATTTGATCAACAGCAAGTTCAATAAACATAATTTGCAATACAAATCTTTAGTAACAATCAATTTACTGTGTCCTTACTTATATATTTTATATTTTTTTCTTTTATTTTACTGACCACAAACTTTTGAATTACAGTATAATGGTTTCTGAAAAAAAAAAAAAATAAATACAACATATAAAATCATTATATTTTAATATAATAATATGATTATATTAAATTCTATTTAAATACATTTTAAAAATGTAATTTATTCATGTGATGCCATTTCTCCAGTCTTCAGTGTCACACGATCCTTCAGAAATCATTCTAATATGCTGATGTGGTGCTCAATCAATTATTAATCATGGTTCTTATTATTATCAGTGTTAAATGGAGAGTTATGACGTGTGTATAGAATCATGAACGCATTGCAGAGTGTGTATTTCTGGGATCTGCCTATTTTTCTCCTGTTCTGCGGAAGTGGCACTTCACAGGCTCCACAGGTGAGCAGCTCATATACATACCCTGAGCACTAAGTTCCCAGGTGCCATCTGTGGCCATAGCTGCCCTGGCATGAGTCACATGCCACAGCCCCTCCCTGCCAGTCCCACAGAGACACAAGCACAGCCACACAAACACACTGCCAATGGGCTTGAACTTACACCCACTGCGCTAATAGCTCCTCATTCCAAAGTCCTGAAAGGAAAACTTGAAATCGCATCATATGACCCCTTTAAAATGAAAGAAAGCCCTTCCAAAAAAGTAGCAAAATAATATTTTGCAAAGCAATGTCACATAAGCAAGAGTGCTGTTCCAAATATCAGCGTGGCTGTAATCCATGCTGATGTGTGATAAATTGTATAACAGTTAATAAACAAGTTCAATAAACCCTCATGCCATCTCAGATGTATATGACTTTCTTGTTCTTTCACAAAGAAAAAATGTTAGAAAAATAATCAATTTCTGCGAGTCCATATAATGCAAGTGAATGGAACCCTCAATGTTGACGCTTCAAAAACCACATAAAGCAAAAAACAATAATATATATGACCCCAGCTGATGAATCGAGCTTCACCAGAGGGCTCTGCCAGCCTAATGGAACTGTCATAGAGATGTAAATAACATTGGCACTCTGTGAAACAAGCCATGAAGGGCAGGCAAGTTGAGCACAAGCATGACCCTTACTAAACCTTTCCTCTCTGGTATTCAACACACAAACACACACACGCAAACAGGCAGCCACATGCTTAACAATTTAGAGATTTGTTATGCAACCGAGGAAGCACTTCAGTATTGAGAAAGAATAACTACAGGAGTGATAAATAACTTAACTAGACAGAGTCACTTTAAGAGCAGATGAACTGACTCAACAGTCAGGTCAATCAGAAGTGATGCTTCTGCATGAAGTCACAAGTCAACCTGGACTTCAGTCAAGATTCGAGTCAACAACTTTGACAGCAGCACGCAACAGTTTTTATTTAGAGCAGGGACACTTTTACATGTAATCCATTCAATAAAGTTCAAAGTATATATCCGGACAGTGTTTTACATTTAAAGGGGGATAAGAAGGCAAGATGGGCGTGTTGTGACATCAAACTCATGAATATTAATTAGCTCATGCTGACATTGCAAGGTAATTTTCCAAGACTGTTCAGTCATGTAACCAAATATTCATGAGCTAAGCCTTCACCTTGGTACCATTCATAAAAATTCATTTCATATACGCCTGAATTGTACGACCTTGTAAAGTAAAGGTATGAGTAACATCAGATCACCATTATGTTTGCTCAGATATTTTAACACAAACTTAACTGATTTTGATAAATAGTCAAAATGATGGGCTAATCTGGTCTGTAGATCATATATGAAGCCTACAGTATAAAAACTGAAATGTGGACTTTAAATCCAGTCTCCTTACATTTGAGTAAGCAATCATTCTTTTCACTCAATTCTAGTGCATAAATAATTGTGACAAACATATTGCGCTTTCCAGAAAATCTGAACTCAAATGAAAGGTTGCTTTGGCATGTTAGATAAATGTGTGTGTACTGTGTAGCATTGCACATTTTTTGATTTCCCATATACTAAACACTGCCAGTGTGCATGAGCGCACACTTTCATTCATATTTTGGAGTCTCTTGGTCCAAGTGTTTTGTAGGTCAGTGGATATATGCATGGATCAGACACCTGTATTTTTTTTTTCTTTCCCAATGTGGTGTAAAGGTAAAGGTGCCTTTTTGCCCCCACATTTAGAACAAACACCCTGAAATACTAGGTACTTAAAATACAGCAAACTATAGTCTACACTATGAATGCGCTTTTAATGCAAGCCAACAGAATATTGTAATACAAGTCTACTACATTTGGTTGAGTAGGCTAAAGGTGAGGGTTCATGCACTACATTCCACAACCACAATAACCTCATACACTAGGCTGGAATACACTACACGACTTAAAAAATCTGAACAGATTTTAAAACGGTAAGCATCATACACTTAATGACTTTGTAAATAGTCACAGAGGAAAACTGACCATCATACACTACACGACTGAGGATCACAAACAACCAGACTTTAAAGTCAATTAGGATTACTCATGCAGAAACGTGTGTATTGTTGATAGGAGACGCGTGACAAATGAAAACAATATGTGTTCTAAAATCGACTGAAAATATCAAATCAAACATTTTTGATATCCTCCAACTAGGTTGAATCATAAACTGAAGCTAAAAAAAATCAGCGTCGATGACCATCATACTCTACGCAGTTTTCTATGAAATCTGTTGACTCAAATCTGCAGACTGGCTCTGAATTTAGGCAATTAGCGTTTACTTATCCAAACTGTAAATCGGGGCAAAAATTTGTGTAGTGTATTCCAGCCTTAAAGGGGTCATATGATGCGATTTCAAGTTTTCCTTTCTCTTTGGAGTGTTACAAGCTCTTGGTGCATAAAGAAGATCTGTAAAGTTACAAAGACTAAAGTCTCAAATCCAAAGAGATATTCTTTATAAAAGTTAAGAGTCAGCCACACCTACCTAAAACGGCTCGTTCTAACACGCCCCCACATATCTACCTCACTATGTGGAAATATTAGCATAATGCCGCCCAAATGTGCACGCAAAGAAAGAAGGCATGGTTTCAGGAAAAGCAGTTGTGTTAAAGCAGCCATGTCAGGGAGACGGTGTGTGTTTCAGTGCGAAAGCAAAAGCACTTTATTTGGCCTTCCGATTTGAGTTCTAATATCACTGACTTCTACATACATTACTGCTCCATCAGAAGCTATACATTCCAAAATCACTATGACCTCATAATTTTATTTTAATATGGTCATAATAATTTTTCAGATTACACACTTCTTTTATGAAGGCATAAATATATCAGTATATATAGCATATCCCCAAGGAGGTTATAATGGTTTTAGAGTTCACTTAAAATAAAATAATATAATGCATATATCCCGAATGGATAGATTATAGTTATATGGTACAGACTATAGTTATAATGACTCCAGGATGTAGAGATAGCCCTGAGGTCATAATAATTTTGAAATGTATCGCCTCAGCTAATGATCTGGTATTGATTTTGTAATGTATTACAAGGTTGTGAGGTTCTTTCACACAATCAAATTGCTTTTGTGGTGCTCTTATGAGTAATAAATGCTAAAAACAGCAATGGCCATTGTTCATTTGAGCTGGTTTTGACACCCACCCTAAAATCATAGTGTTGGAATGAGATCTGATAAAAAATAAACCTTTCTGACTCGGAGACAGCCCTCTGTGATGGGCTCCCCTACCTGAGGAGTATATTATGGGTCGCTGTGTGAAGGCAGGCATGCTAAATGGCAAGGAAGGGAACTGACAGATTCTTTGAAGATGCCAATTAGACAAGCTGCCATTTAGATCAAACACACCAAGCCTTTTTCAGTGCAAAGCCATGGCATTTATCAGCAATCCCTGCTTGTTAGGAGAACTGAAAAGCTTCCTCACAGGATGAGGGAGTACTGCGAAAGCTGAAACCTTCTGAACAGAGAAAGAAGAAAAGGACTGAGAGCTGAGAAGAGAGAATACAACTACTCATCTGGTTCTCTGCAAATTCTTCCTATTTTTGACCATTTCTCTCTAATTCCTAATTTTTCAAGCAATATGAAAAATTAACACAGAGTCCCAACACAGTGTAATTCTGCTTTTCCCGGATACGAGAACTAATCTAACTAAAACAGGTTTCATTATTTTCAAACAGACCCTTCAAGACTGAATGTCTGAATCTGATAAGATGGGGGCAAGTTACACTTCAAGTCAAGTTGTGAGAGAAACGAGTGAAATATAGTTGAAATATGGCAAATCATTCTAAACTATTTCTATCTTTAGCATCTCTAACTGGCTTTTAATGTGGTTATCAGCTCATGCTATGCTGAGGCCTTTAAAGGCTGCGAAAAGGATGGTGGAATGGAATCCATTGAAGAGGCAGTGTGCCTTCTCTGTCACAAGTGATCTCATTACCGATTACTCACGCACACACGCACACCTTCCCTTCTCTACCCTCCACTGTACATACAACATATATTCACATAGACTCAATCCAGAGGTAAAATGCGACTCACTGAGGTGGGGAGTCTGGGTACATGACGTTGACTTGAGACAGCGTCTCCACGTAGGAGTCAAAGTCAAATGCAGGGGGAAAGTCCTCAACACAAGTGGACCTCAGCTCTCCAATGGAGCCACCATATGAGAGGCCATCAGGAGCTGTAGAAACAATAGCAGCAAAACGGAAAATCTAAATGGAAAAACGTATTTTTCAAGATATGACCACATTAAAAATATATAAATGTCACTGCATAAGATAAAAAAGAAAATCAAACTAAGTGACATTTATTTTAAAGACAGATAGCACAAACTCAAAATTATAAAACAGTGGAACATGACCATGATTCTTGATAAAACACACCAGTTGGAACTCTGCTAGGACATGCAAAGTTTAAAGTAAACCTAAACCTTCACAATTTTGCAGTTTATAATACAGTCAATGCCAAATAACAGAGAGAGGGTCTTGCTGACCACATCACTATCTACTGGACAAGGCTAACTGATAGAAGCAGAAGGGTTATACAAGGACTGGCTTTTCACCAGCATTATTCCCTGACCTCCCAAACATAAGTCTGAATGCACTACAGGGTTGGTTCCTCTCAACTTTTTCAAAACAGTATGACAAATCAACTGCATGTCATTATGCCACACAGAAACTACAAACAAAAGCATGAAGTGTTTTAAATATGTTGTGGACCCCATGAAGTTAGGCCACTGACCGTAGCTGGCACGCAGGTGGGGGTTGCGCAGTCGGCTGTCTTTGCGCAGACTGCCCACAATGATGGTGACGCAGGAGAGGAAGAGCACCAGGCCGATGACGATGCCAGCCACCACAAGAGGGGACACCAGAAAGCTGGCTTCATTACCCCCTTCTTGGCAGTCTGGGTACTCATGAGCATGACTGCTCTGGTTTGAGCTTACTGTATGGAGGAGAGGGTAGATGTGTGGAGGTCAGCAGAATGATAAAGACAGAAAGATGGCATGAGTGAAAGAAAAGAAGGGAAATAAGAGACAAAGATGAGACGGCTGGTCAGTTTTTAAAGCACTTTCAATAAATTTACAGTAGCGAGTGTTACATAATACACAAAACAGACATTTTCTTCTTTCCCACACAGACAGAGAGATCATACTGGTGTGGGATTATGTCAGTTTCTATATAATAACTCTGCTCTGAGACACAATCACACTCGCACACCTACCTCTCTGAGGACCGCAGATCAGGAACGCTCCCCAGACTTTCATCCCTCAGTGGATTAGATTCTCAAGTCTGCAGTGTTTAAATTTTAATCCTGACCCGTTTGAATTTTTAAATATGCGGGGTGGAAGACTTTCATGTCAGCTCGCAAGAAGCCCAACTCCAGTCATTAGCTCCTCTCTGAGTTCTTTCACCCTTTCCATTAAGACCAGAGAGAAACCAAAATAAGCCACACACACTCACACATATACTCACCAGTGTTGGGAGTAACGCATTACAAAAGTAATAATATTACAGTAGTATATTACTTTTTCTCACATAGGCTACAAAGATACAGACAGATTCAATAAAGCCTATTGGGAAAGATAATCATATTAACACTCTCTGAGCTTGATACCTCCAGCCCTTCCTGAAGGTAAACAAGACCGAAATCAAATCAATGTATCTGTGAGGGCAGCACAGTGCTTCAGTTGTATCCATATTTATTCTGAGGACAAAAGAAACACCAGGAAGTGTTCAATGTAATGTGATAATTATCTTAAACTCCATAAGCTGCAGATGTAAACAACAACAACAACAACAACAACGTAATTATATATATATATATATGCAAATAAAAATGCATGGTAATTACTGGCTGTTTTGCTGTGTTTTTTAAATATATAAAAATATCCACATTTGACAAAAATCGTGCCACTCAACCAGGGGCGTAAATTTCGTCTAAATAAATTTCTCAAGAGCAATTTTTGAAGAGGGCACAAATAATTCAGCTAAAATTGTACTTGTAAGGCTATGTATACACAGAGGAATGGCTTACTACTATTAGTGCAGAAGGGAGACCGTGCCAAATTAGACAACTTAAAGCTGTTGTGGTCGCGCCGCGACAATGCTCGTTTCCGTTGTAGGCATTACTATCCGTCACAGTGTTGCCAAGTCCGCGGTTTTCCTGTGGACTTGGGCTACTTTATCACTGTTGCCGTGGGTTGTTTTTCACGTCTGCGGGTTGAAGCAACCCCAATAACGTGTATTTTAGCCCCCGGAATGCGATTTTTACCGGGGGCCCCCTCGAAACGCGGATAGTTTGTCTACTTACACAATTATTTAAAGTATAAAACATTGTTTTTTACAATGCACAGCATCGTTTTTAATCATATATTTAGCGGGGACAACTCTCAGATGGGGGGGTCCTGTCCCTCCCGACCCCCCCGGGATTTCCGCCTATGCACTCAACTAATATGTCTTACTACAAGTGTGTCATGTATTATCCCTGTCAAAGTATGCAATATGTGTATGATATTTATGTAGATTGTCTGTAATGTTGTAATTAATGGTTGATCACAATTGGAATTGGTAATCCCATATGACAAAAAATAATTTACTGCCTGACTGGAATGATTGAGAAAAACATCACACCTTACTGATACCAAATTAGGCCACAGGCTGTTCAAAATACTGGAAAGACTCAATACAAAATTATCACAGTCAATCACAAGACCTCCTCAACATCAACAGTGTTGCACTTTTACCATCACATGTGCTTTCTCACACAAGCAGGCAAGCAAGAGCAATAGAGAAAGTAACTAAAAAGTCTGCTGTCACTTGATTTAAAAATCTATGACGTTCTCCGTTCCTTTTCAAGATAATGTGTAATTTGGGTTTAAAACATAAGTACAAAAACGTCTCGGTTACGTATGTAACCCTTGTTCTCTGAAGGAGGGAACTGAGACGTCACGTCGGTGACCAACGAATTGGGATCTCGCTTAGAGAGCCCAATCCACTTTGAGTGTAAACTAAACGAGCCAATGCACATTGGCATGCGATGATTGTATCCAGCTGCCGCTGATCACAGCGTGAGCATAAAAAGGCAGCCGGTGCAATGCATACCAGGTTTTCGCTGAGGAGCCGAACTGGTGACCCGGCCGCTTAGCGGTGGTACAGCAGCCATGGCGACGGGACATGATGTCTCCGTTCCCTCCTTCAGGGAACGAGGGTTACATACGTAACCGAGACGTTCCCTTTCAGTCGGTCACTCTCGACGTCACGTCGGTGACCGATGAATTGGGATCCCTACCAAAGCGCCATGGATGCTGCCCATTCCAGTGTCCTGTGCAAGCCTCCTGCGCCCCTTTTTGGTGTATGCAGGGGCTCGGAACAAGAAGACCAGTCACTGTTGTCGTAGCACTACCAAACTCAGTGAGATTGAAAAACACTGGGAAAACGTACCCGTTCCACTTGGAACAGGAATGTTGCGGAAGCCCCATCCTTCCCAAACGAGGTTTCGGAAGCACTTACACATATGAACAGGATGGAGGAGCTCGACAGGGTCTACAGGGACACTCTGGAGCAGTTTTAACAAGCCAACACTAAACCGGGGCCTCTCAGTGCCTCTACTCATTTGAGCTGAGAACACAGGAGGATACCGGCTCCACATGAAGGCTACAGAATCTAGCGAACGTGTTGGGGGTCGCCCAGCCCACAGCTCTACAAATATCTGTCAGCGAGCCAGCACCCAGGGGGATGCAACACTTCTAGTTGAGTGAGCTCGCAACCTGAGCGGGCAGGGCACACCCTGTGCCTGATAAGCCAGGGTGATGGCATCCACAATCCAGTGGGCTATCCTCTGCTTAGAGACGGCCTTCCTCTTCTGCCAGCCTCCGTAACAGACTGAGGTCCTAAAGTAGGACCTCAGTACCATCTCAAGGCTCGGACGGGACAAAGCAAAGCTAGGGCTGGGTCTGCCTCCTCCGGGGGCAGCGCTTGCAGGTTCACTACCTGATCCCTGAAGGGGGTAGTAGGAACCTTGGGCACATAGCCGGGCTGGGGCCTCAGGATTACCTGGGAGTCAGCTGGCCCAAACTCTAGGCACGAATCGTCGACTGAAAATACGTGCAGGTCCCCTACCCTTTTGATGGAGGTCAGTGCAAGCAGGAGCAGAGTTTTCAATCGCAATCGCAGTGACATAGACTTTAAGGGTGGAGGGAGACAGCCTTTGCTCCAACCCTTGCTGCAAAAAGGAAAGCACAACCCTGATCGGGCATCTCTGGGGGTCTTCTGGGTGAGAAGAACACCACTCGACGAACAGGTTCCACTTCAAGGCGTAAGCATGTCCCGTAGACAGTGCTCTCGCCGAAGTGATGGTGTCAACTACTTGCTGGGGTAGGTCACCTAGAACCTCCGCGTCCCGTCCAGGGACCAGACATGAAGTTTCCAGAGGTCTGGACACGGATGCCACAGGTGCCCCGTCTCTGAGTCAGTAGATCCTTCCTCAGAGGAATCTGTCAGGGAGGGGCTGTCACAAGGAGCATTAGTTCCAGGAACCAGGTCCAAGTGGGCCAATACGGGGCCACAAGCAGGACCTGCTACTTGTCCTCTCTGACCTTGCACAGTGTCTGTGCGAGAAGGCTCACTCGAGCGCAGACTACCTTGATGGTTGATATACGCAACGGTCGCCGTGTTATCCGTTCGGACCAGCACGTGCTTGCCTCCTAAGCGCCCTTTGAGACGGTTCATGGCAAGGCGCACCGCTAACAACTCTAGGCAATTGATATGCCAGTGCAGTTGGGGGCCCGTCCACACCCCCGACACTGTGTGCCCATTGTTCGTGGCCCCCCCAGCCGGTGGTGAAGGCATCGGTGTAAGCCACAGCATGCCTGGAGACCTGTTCTAGGGAGTGGGGCAGTGAGGTGGAATGCAAGGACCCAACTCGGGCGGCTCGTGGGCGGACCGAAGAGGGGTCTGAGTGTGCGGTGCAACACTTAACTGGTTCCACGGTTTGGCAGAGGGTGCGTGAGTAGGGCCTTTGATGACGCTCTCGAA